TAGGACGAAAATAGGAACGAAACTCCCTGTTTTATTTCTTTAGAGGCTACATTTTTTTAAACTCTAACTCCGAACTAAAGCTTTTCCCGGGACCGAAGATTTCTGTGGGCGGGTACTCTACTTCAACCAATTAGATCATCGGAATACATCAATCACACCCTCTCAGTTCATTATTATGTAAATTGGGCACCGGATGTTTAGTTACGTGACCTAAAACGCAAATGATTGATCATTCAGCTTATGTTATAAGAATGACCTCATACAATCGTGTCTAATTTATTCGTTTTCTTGTTAAGTACAAAGGTACACAATGGGTTATTTGTGCTGTGCCCACCAAGAGTATCGAAACCCGGTTTTTATCTGCGGTTTTACTGCTGAGCCACTGGGAGGATACAATTGTTTCTCAAAGATCACTTTGTTAGTGAATAACAGAGAAGAAAATTGGGTGTTTTTGTCCTGTAAAGTGTCAGCCAATCACAACAAGTCGTTGCAAATAGGCTTCGCGTGTCTCAAGTGTCGTCAGAATGACGTGGAACTTCTTTCAAACCAATGATGATACAGTTGCTGACTTGTGCTAGTCATAAATCCATTTCGTGGGTTAACAGCACAAAATAACATTCATAAGTAGATTTAAGAAAGAATTATAGTCTAAGAATTACACGTATAATAGAATTGTACCATAAAAAAAAAGGCGTGACTGGAACTGCCTCATTTACTGTTTACGTTGGTTGTGTCAGGTGATACGAGTTTCGTAATTTTTAAATTTATATATATATATTCATACACCTCTCTCTCTCTCGATGAAACACGAACAGCAGGGTCCATAACTTAAGATCGCGCTAAAACCGAGGTCGTTACAGACGATTTGACCATAAGTCCGTTTTCCATGATAACACCGTTTTCATAACGTGTTTACAATAGTTCGTTACAGACGATTTGACCATAAATCCGTTTTCCATGATAACACCGTATTCATAACGTGTTTACAATAGTTCGTTACAGACGATTTAACCATAAATCCGTTTTCCATGATAACACCATATTCATAACGTGTTTACAATAGTTCGTTACAGACGATTTAACCATAAATCCGTTTTCCATGATAACACCGTATTCATAACGTGTTTGATTTTTTGTTTGTTAAATTACCTTTAACCTAAGCGAGTTAATTTTAACTTATGCAGTTAAATCTTTAATTTAACGCTATTTATTAAACCTACTTCCGCGTTCCGATCTCCATTACGCTTTTACTTTTTTTAAGTTACGCGAAATTAATTGAATTTTGAATGTAAATGTGTTTTAAACTTAAATGTTAAACGTTTTCATTTTTAATGAAAACAGTATTTAATCACTGTGTTTAGCGAAGAAGTTAGTTGAAACTGGGTTTCGATACCCGTGGTGGGCACAGCACAGATAGCCCATTGTGTAGCTTTGCGCTTAACAACAAACAAACCGAAAAAAATGCGTTGCTTTGTGTCTTACCGTTGGGTGCGTACTAAGCCAGGATCAATCGGTACTACGTTGTAAAACTGTAATAAAATCACGTACAATTAAACCCAACAGAATTTATAAGCCCAATTAAATCCAACAGAATTTATAAGCCCGATTAAATACAATAATTCGATTAAACTACTGTTGCTGCTTCGACACGATCACTGGAACCAAAAGTTTTCAAAGACTCCACTTTCACGAAAACCATTCCTTTCGACACGCGATACACAGGTCGTCATTCACGAGTCGCGTGATCTTGCGAAAATTACAAGGCATTGTTTTCACGAGAATCGATATGATCCGTGATCAGACTCAATGATTGGCGCCAACGTGATAAGTCTAAAGCAAAAAAAAAAAGAGGGGGGTGGGTGGAACCAGGACCTCATCGTGTAAAACGAGTCGCGTTGTATTTATATTGTCTAACTAGACTTACTTATAATTTTGTTTCTATTACTTTAAACCCAGTTACTTACCATAACAACAACACAACCTGATATAAAGATCACAGTTATAGGGACGACTTGTATGTACTATCGGATACGTCAACAGCACAGCAGTTAAAAAACGTTAGTTTGCATTAATACTTAAAAAAATGTATCAAACACGGCTGTTTATGTTACGCATTTTGTACACATTGTTTAAGAATATTTGGTTTGAAACAATTACAAAATAAATAAAAACAGCGTACGTAATACACAGACAGTGGACAGTATTCAAAACTGCTGTAAACTATAGTAGGAAAAGTTATCTTGTTACACTTACATAGTAACGAAAAAAATTATTATATAAATTAGATCCGAGTTCGAAAAGCCATCATTTTAAACAATGAATACCATACGACTGTAGCATACTTGTTTAGTGAACCATGTAACATTACACCCGGAAACTGTTTATAATCTTGTAGATGTAAGTATAATCTCGAACTATCATAAACCTTTGAATCTTTTTGTCATATATTTATTACGCTTCAAACGTGGATCAACTGCATAATGTTAACAGTATTACAACACAAACATCTGCTATATGCTGGTATTACTATAGAAAAAACCAGCACAAACATCAGTTATATGCTGGTATTACTATAGAAATAAACCAGCACAATTATCTGCTATATGCTGGTATTACTATAGAAATAAACCAGCACAATTATCTGCTATATGCTGGTATTACT